TGTTAAATGTTTCAAGCCAGTTGTTGAACAGGGACATCATTAAAAATTAAATTACATAAACTTACTATTAGATAAATTAAAAATTAATAATATTTACAGATATTAGGTAAATATAAAAGGTAATAAGTACTAAAAACTCATCACTTTCCAATTATTTTGCTGTCTTCTATTAGATCTATCTTTCCTATGTGGACAGTGGAAATTACCATATAAAAGCATGTTACCACACATTTCTTCCCAGCTTTGCAATTAGTTATGTCACATTCGTAGCTTGAAATCAGCATAGTAACAGTATTTTACACTATGGAAATCTGCAAATGCTATAAATCAGAGCTCACCACCTCTTCTACCCCAGAACTAGTCTTTAAACCTTTATCAACACACTACTGGTCTCTGCCCACAGGGCCTTCTAAGAGAAGCTTTTCTTTCTGCTTCCCAGAAACTGCGTCTCCATATGACTCTGCACCTTTCCTTTCAGAGACAGCTGATTGGCCTGGAAAGGGAAAACTAATAAAAGTAGAAATATCCACACAGACCAAGCTAATGCTTCCCTTTAGAATTTGAATGGAGACTCATAGAGACTGATTCATGAAAGCCAAGGCATGCTAACAGCAGTGGTTTAGAATAAATGTCCTTGAGCTCTATGTAGGTCCTTAAAGCTGATTTAGACTTAACCATACTTTCCAAGATCCTATAGTACCACTTTTCTCTGGATTCCATAAGATTTTATCCTTAAAATATGTCTTTTATTTGAGCAAATATATTTACTATTCTAGTCCTTGAAAAACTGATGATTCCAACATAGAAACTATCAAATGTAGGCAAAATATCTAGTCTCAAGTCTTGGATGCATGACCCATTGAAAATTCTTTAATCTGACAGCCTCTCAGTTTTATATTTTACTAGTTTTTAAGCTCCAAGATTGTACAAAGGTACTTAAGGCTCCACTATGAGAGTTGAAAAAAAAAAAGGGCTTTAAGTAGAGAGGGGCTAGATACCTCAGTTTTTCAACAAGGAACACACTGCTGTTATCTACTGTGTATTATTTCTTTTGACAATTTCCACTAAGCACTCCCTACCCTGTCTCTTTAAAAACAATATTTAAAAAGGGGCCAGACATAAAGAATGAGAAATTAGAGACATTTATAGCTAAATGGATATACATTGAGGCGATACTCTTAAGTGAAATAAATAGGACACATATGTGTAAAGACCGAATAATTTCTCTGGTGTGAGAAACTGAAAGTGTAAATAAGGACTAAAAGGAATAATAGATAATGTGAAATAGGAAGAAAAGGGGCAAAGGGGAAGGGAAAGTAGGGGGGTAGGGGAAAGGAAAGAAGAGAATGGAATTAATAAGAGAAAATGAAAAAAATGGAAACAAAGTCTTTGTAAATAGGGAGGGATGGAGGGGTTGAAGGGAGGGCAGGGGAATGGGGAAAAAAATAAGAACCAGGATAGAATATGTAAAGGCGCAAATTCCCAATGATGAATGTTATTATATTGTATACCTAAAATGCACCAATAAAATTAATATTAAAAGGGGGGGGCAGGCATTTAACTTAAAAAGTTAAAAAATTCCAGACTCTATCTCCAAATCCTTTTCAGTATTGTATAACTTTACAATGCAAACAGAAAATATTCTTATGCATATTATAGAAATATTTAAATATTTTTCTGTTCCTGATGTCATTTGCATCATCTCTTATTGGAGTTTCAAAGAAACCATGGTAGAGCTACAGTTAATCGTGGACTCAATCTGGTGACTTGCTTATTGCAGAAGTGCTCATCCACTTCTTCCTGTGAATTTTTGGCCTGGCCTGAAATTTTTGCTTAGCCTGGTGTTCTGAGTGACCAATAGCAATCAACTGGAGTTGGCAAGAGATGAAACTGGTCTGCCATCCCTCTAAGCTTCTCCATGTATGGACACTCACTTACCTTATGCTATTTTTGATGTCTCTAATGGTTCCCTCTTTACGCTGAGATTTCCATGTTCTGAAGGTTGCCCTTCTGTTTGGTTATCTGCCCTTAAAGCAGTCTAACACCATCTAACACCTGACAGTCTGGGGTTAGAGCCAGAGGCAAGACTATGTACTGGTTGCACTAGCCCTTATGACCAGACACCTACTGGGTCTCTCCATATGGACATTTCACAGGAGAAAGTGCTACAAGTCAAGGAAGATAAAGCACTAGGTTATTTGCTTAAAGTACTAAGTTCCTTTTCATCTCTCCTTAGTAAATGAGAAAAATAGTTAATAAGCCTCTTTTTGGAGGTTTCAGGTGCTGAAAGACATTTATTAAGACACTCTGGTTAAGGGCCGGGGATTTAGCTCAGTGGTTCTGCCGCCTGCCTCGAAAGTGCAAGGACCCGTGTTCGATCCCTGGTACCAAAACAAACAAACAAACAAAAACAATAGAAATTGAATGGTGAGGCACCATCAGCAAAAACTCTGGAAGTTATATAAAACAGACTGGATAGATATAATGGTTAATGTAAGAGCATTACTAGTCTTGAAGTTACATAGTCAAATGCACACAACTGACAGCTTGGTTATTATAACCCATGGAATTTGTAAGAACACAAAGGAAGGTGTGACCAGTCAGGTCAAGGACCTTTGACAGTGGGTATGTTGACTTCCTCAGAAAATCAAAAAACTAAGCTTTAAGGTTCTAGTTCAACAAGGTTCTGCCAAATAATATTTGAGGATAGTCTAAGTCCTAAGTCAAAAATCAATCTTGTTTCTGAATGAATCCTTCTTCATGACCACATTATCTCTAATCTTTCCCTGCCAAACCTTTATTTCTCTCTTTGGTTCTCCATTTGATTTGATTGCATTTCCACATGTGCTGCTTGATCTATCAACTCCTTTAGTGTCTGATTTGCCTTATCTTGGCCTCCATTCTCCTTTCCTTCCTACTCCACAAGAATAATTTTCCTTTATTCTAATTAATATTATTGAGGTCCTATTATGCCAGGACCTGGGCTAGGCTAGGTAAATGCTTAGGCTTCACGTTGCTTAGATACAATTTAGCTTTGGGCAAGGCAAAGGGCAGGGTGCAAATCGTCCATGGGAGAGGAACCTAGTAAAAATAAAAGAGATTCTCAGTGCCTTGAGTATAACAACCCATGTATATAACAAACCACCCAAAATATAACAAACACAAAAATAAACAGGGCATAGTATGTGTATCAATTCTTTTTTAATACTTAAATTCTTTTCTTGGTACATTTTAGGTATACAACACATTTACATTTCTCATTGGGAACTTGTTCCTTTACATGATGCATCTTGGTTCTTATTTTTTCCCCATTCCTAGCCCTCCCTTCACCCCCTCCACCCTTCCCTATTTACAAAGACTTTATTTCCATTTTTTCCATTTCTCATCATTTTTCCTTTCCCTTCTTTCCTTTCCCCTGCCCCTCCCACTACCCCTACCCCTTTGGACCTTTTCTTCCTATTTTGCTTTATCAATTATTCATTCTAATCATTGGTACATTTTAGGTGTACAATAAAATGACATTCATCATTGGAAATTTGCACCTTTACATAATCTCTCTTGGTTCTTATTTTTCCCCCTTCCTCTGTCCTCCCTTCAACCCCTCCATCCCTCCCTATTTACAAAGACTTTGTTTCCATTTTCTCATATTAATTCCATTCCCTTCTTTCCTTTCCCCTACCCCTCCCACTTCCCCTTCCTCTTTGCCCCTTTTCTTCCTATTTCACATTATCTGTTATACCTTTTAGTCCTTACAATTTTTATATTTATACCAACACTGTTACCATAGCCATAGATAGATGCAAAAGCGTTGCTTTTGGAAAAGTAAAATTTTTAGAATTCATAGAAAGTAGAAGTTGAAGGCAACTTGATAAAGCAAGGAAGGATCTACCATGGAGTCTTCTTTTATGGTACTGATTACATAAAAACAACAAGCTTAAGTGGAAAAACAGAAATGACATCCTAAAATGGATGTTTTGTCTCTATGTCATAGAAGATGTTGCTTTTCACCACTTTTAGTAGCTTTAAGGAAAAAATTTCATTGATCTATTTTTAATGCACTGTGGTATACCTGATAGGTGACTTAATAGACAAAAGGTAAGGAATAGGAACAGCAGGATCTGGGCCAGAAATTCATTTTGGTTGCCTCTGAAAGCACTTAGTTTTCATAAGAACTGACAATGAATTGATCATATTCCTGTCACCGCAGCCCAACTGTAACTACCTGTACGGTATTTAGTTGTCTACACCCCTAGTCTTAAAATATTTTAGGAGTCCTGGTACCATTCCATAGTATGAACACCAAAGCTAGCATAACTCAATAACCAAAAGGGGTTAGGAGTGGGAAACTGTTAAGAATGTCATACTTTCTCATAAAACTGCTGACAATGTAGCCAACAAAAAGTATAACAAACACAAAAATAAAGAGGACACAATATGCTAATCAATCCTTATTTTATATTTATACTAACACCTTCCACGAACACCTTTCCTCAAAAGTGAGAGTATGTTTCAAGATGTCTTTATTCTGAATGTTTAAACTCCTGCATTTCACACGCTTAAAATAGTTCTGATTTGTTACTTTGTGTAATCACAGATATGCTGAAGAAATCCCAGCCCCCTGGGAGACTGAGGTGGGAAGATCATCACCAAGTATGGGCTAGCTCAGCCTGGGCAACTTACATACAGTGAGACTCTGTCTCAAAATAAAAAATTAAAAGGGCTGGGGCCGCAGCTCAGTGTGAAGGCTCTCGGTTCAATTCCCCAGTACCACCACAAACACAAAATTTTTAGCGGTAACCAAAAAACAGCATTATTTGCTTTCCTTTATCAAGAGTCCCGAGGATACCGTTGTGCAGTCAGAACACCCTGTGACTTATGACTTGAACCAAAGATTTGCACCTCATTTTTGTTGCACTCCTAAACGTACGACTATAAATTATTCATGGCCTTGCGTCAAGCAAGAGATCGTTAGGCGACCTGACTTTTTGGAGGGGCGCTGCCCAAATTTGGGGGACACCCCCACCCGCCTGGCGCTGAGGCTGCGCGAAGGACAGCCAGACGACCACATCGAGGCCTCGTTCCTCGACCTGGCGGCCCCGCAGTGCTGGCTCCTACTGCGGCCCGCTGCCTTCGCGGTTATTTAGGACTGTGCGGTCAGGCTGGGGACGCAGGGCCAAGGACCGGGGACCGCCGCCTCTTCCCGGCGTGATTGTAGTCCCCCGCCCCAGGCCGCCAGCCCGAAGGGACGCGGCCACGGCTCCCGGGGTCGCCTCAGGCTGCTGGAGGTCCGCCGCCCCGCCCGACTTCTCGCGAGTTTTCGCCGCGCTCCCCCCGGGCCCCCGCCCGCTCGGCTGCCCGCGGCTCTGCTATGGCTGCTCTGCGGAGGTTCCTGTGGCCGCCACTCCGGCTGCCGCCCACGCTCTCCCCTCACCAGCCCTTTCTCGGGCCTTGGGGGCGGCCTGCGTGGACCGCCCTTCCTGGCCAGCCCTTCTCTTGCAGGGAAGACGAGGAGGGGGCGGTTGCGGAGGCGGCTTGGCGGCGGCGGCGGCGGCGCTGGGGAGAGCTGAGCATCGCGGCAGCAGCCGGCGGGGGTCTGGTCGGCCTCGTGTGCTACCGGATATACGGGGACCCCAGGGCTGAGCCCGGCCGACCCTCCGAGAGCGCGCCCGCAGAGCCCGAGGACCAGCCCCACGGCCTGGGGCTGCTACCCATTCCGGTCGCTGCTGCCAAGGAGACGGTGAGTGCGCGAGCGCCTACGCGCCGGGCTGCCCGAGGTTAGGCCGGGTGGGCTGCCGGGGTCCCACCTGCGCGCGGGGAGGCAGGGGCGCCCGACTCGGTGGAAGCTTGTGAGCGCGGAGGCCGTGGGTGGGACCTTCTAGGCCAGAAGGCCGGGAGTGCTGGGAAGGCGACGGTGGTGCTGTCATTGGCGCACCGGGACCTTGAGAGTCGCTGCATCTTATCTCCTGTCAACTTCCCACTCCCAGGGGTTGAGAAAGGAGCTTCCAGCAGGCGCTGGACAAGAGCGAGCGAGTGATTCTGTAGTTGTGAAGAAGTGGTCTGATGTCTCAAAAGTTACTAATGTATGCAAATCCCAAGAGAAGAAATACAAAAGCTGTAGGTCAAAAGGAAAGATGTTTCAAGGTTGGAAAAGGCAAAAGGAAAAAATGGAAACAAAGTCTTTGTAAATAAGGAGGGGTTGGAGGGGTTGAAGGGAGGGCAGGGGAATGGGGAAAAAATAAGAACCAAGATATGACATGTAAAGGTACAAGTTGCCCATAATGAAGGTCATCTTATTGTATACCTAAAATAAATGTACCAATAAACTTAATGAAACAAAATCATTTCAAGTTGAAAAAAAGGCATATCTTCTCATTAAAGCCAAAATTCTTTAATTGCGTATAATAATCACAAAGTGGGTAGGACAGCCAATGTAGGAAACTATAATGAACATCCCATGAAAATGTTCAAGGGTCGTTATGTATGTATGAGGTAAAGATGAGAGTAAGGCAAGAGTGAGTAAAAGGATATCTTTTTGTCACGTCCTTATATTTAATTAGTAGTTATGTGGGTGACTGGGGAAATTTTCCTTGCAATATGTAAAGAGTATGAACGGCTTAGATGAAAAAAAAATTTTTTTTTGGTAACGGGGATCAAACTCGGGTCCTTGCGCTTGCGTAGCAGGCGGCGAAACCACTGAGCTAAATCCCCGGCCCTGAAAATAATTTTTAAAGGAATCAGTTATGCTGTTTTTAACTTCAATGAAATTTTACATCCTGTATGTTTATGTGTGAATACACAGTAGTGGTCTAAGTGCATCACTTCTGCTACAGGTTGTTGATGCATTTAAGTTAGGCAATCTACTTTATGGACCTTCTAGCGGTAAATCACAGGCACATAACCTAAAATACTTTTATATAGCGATTACTTAAATACTACTAAATACCTTCAGTCTTCTCTTACCCACTCCCACCCCCCTTCTTTTGTGGATTAGGCAGTAGCATTAAACTTCTGCTCTTTTTTTTTTTTTTACCGTAGCTGATCTGAGAACAGACTAACAAGGTAGGGAACATCCAAATAGTGTTTTCTTCTTTTTTTTAATTAATTTTTAAAATTTTAGAGATAGTATCATGCAGTTTTAAAACATCACACTCAGAAAACTAGAAGTACATGGATCTACTCCCTAAGCTGAATGTAGACATGTACTGCAAACATGCAGTACTAATAAAATTTTTGAAACAAGAAAGATAAAACACTGGCTCCATCATTTACTAATGTCATTTTTGACAAATTTACTTAACCTCTCAATACCTGTTTCCTCATATGTAAAAGAAGTTAGTAGTCTCACAGGCCATCGTGAAAATTAAATGAGTTACTACCATATATTTAAAACAATGGTATCCCTGGCCTGTAATAAGCATTTCACAAATTTATTTTTTATTTTGTTCATTTACTTATTTATTGTCTATTTACTTACATTTGTACTGCTTAGTGTGTATGAAAATTTCTATACCTGGTTGTAAAAGTCAGGTATAATACTAAAGTTTTGTACCTTACCCTCCCAATTCTCGTGTCCTACATTTTAGTTGTCTTGCCTTTTGTATATATTTGTTTTCTCTATCTTAAAACTTCTATAATCTTTTTATTCCTGATGTTTGAAATTTTTACAATAAAGACATGTTTTTCATTGATTGTGCTAAGGGTCCTTCAATATGGAAACTCATGTCTAAAAGTTTTGTTTTGGGCTGGGGATTTAGCTCAGTGGTTTCACCACCTGCTGTGCAAGCGCAAGGACCCGAGTTCGATCCCTGGTACAAAAAATAAAAGTTTTGTGTAAAATTTTCTTGTACTGTTTCTTTGATATTTTTTCTCTTCTATTTTTCTAGGACTGCTATTAGTCTGAATTTAATCCTCTTAATTCTAATGCTAATCTATCTTGGATCCCAGTTTTAGTGTTTAGGAAAGTTATTCTTGAGTTTATCTTCTAACATTCTACTGAATTATTTTAGCCATCCTAGTGTTTTAATTCAAAGAACTGTTTTGTATTCTCTGATGCTCATGTTGTAGATATTCTGTTTTATCTCATTGCTGCTATAATTTCTCTGGGATATAACTTACAGTTTATAAGATATAAATTATGGTTTTATTTTGCTTTCTCCTTTGTGTGTTGCTTTGTTTTTCTAGCTTCTTTTTCCTGTTTGATTTTATAAGCTCTCGCTTTCATTTTCATTTCCTTCACATATTTGTAATTGTTGCTCATCTATTATTTGAAAACCACTCAAAAAAGTCTCTCTAAATGAATATGGCTTTTCTTTGTTTCTCCCTCTTTGCCTCCCTCCGTGCCTCCTCTTTCCTCCCTCCCTTCCTTCTTTCCTTTTCGAGACAGGGTTTCTCTGTGTAGTTCAGGTCAGTCTTGAACTCACTATGTAGCCCAGGCTGGCCTCCAACTTGAGATTCTCCTGCCTCATCCTCCAAGTGCTGGGATTACAGGTGTGTGCCACCATGCCCGGGTGAATATGGCTTTTACTTTTCATCTGGTGATCCAGATTTTTCATTAGAACAGCATCCAGATGTCAGTATTTTATAGCACTTTTTCTTTGGTATCATTGAGCTCCAAAGAGCAAGAGAGGTGAAAGAGTCAGTAATCTGGATGCAGTCATACACATATGAATGTATAAGAGCATGTGTGCTGGAGGAATATCTTATGGTACACTTACATAGTATTTTCTAGTCATCTGTTTGCAGTATCACCACATACACTACCTCTATAGCTTTTTTTGTTCCCAAAGCCATATCCTTTCTTGGGTTTTATGGCTTACTTCCATTTGATCTCAGTGCCCATGTAGTGGCTTTGTACCCCTAAGTCAATTATCACTCTTCCATCTTCAATTTTACAAAAATGTGGTGAATTGTCTTGATTGTTCTAGTCTCCTCTCTTTTTTTCTTTCCTATTCCCTGTGTATTTGCACCCCCCGCCTCCATTTTTTAGTCCTTTACTGTGTCTTTAGTGTGGTTGGGGAGTTGGTAGTTGAAAGAGACCTATGGGGTTAATCTGCCACTTTTCAAAAATATTGTTTTAAACCTTTGCTGTTGCTGTATAGTGTCAATTTTATTTTTCTGTAGTGGTATACAAGGGGTGATGAAAATATATGATGGGTGTTTAAATAATAAAAATATTTATTACATTGAAAGATACATTGCCATTAATCTCCCTTCAAATAATTCCCCTCACTTTGAACACACTTATCCCTTTGTTCTTGCTGCTTTCTGAAGCAGTTCTGGAAGTTCTCCTTCATGAGTGTCTTTACAAGTTCTGATCAAAAAATACAATGAATGCTGTTGCTTGGAAAAACATTAGCATTCACCTTGCTCATGGGATCTGGCACTGTGCAACTTCTGGCTCTTCTACAAAGACAAATGACCATAAAAGGTAAACCTTCTGGATCAATTCAGGACAATGAGAGAGCTACAACAACACAAAGACACTTATAAAAGAAAGATTTCGAGAACAAATTCAGAAAGTGGCAAGAATGATGGGATAAGTATGTTCAAAGTAAGGAGGAGTATTTTGAGGGGGGACTCATAATGTGTCTTTTACTGTAATAAATTTTTTAAAAATTTAAAACATTTTTCTTATTTTTCTGTCACATCTTCCTGTTTCAAATGACAGCTAAGAACTTTTGATTTATAAAGCTTCTTTTAAGAAGCATCATATTATACAGAGCATAAGCTTGGCATAAATGTTAACTTATATGTGTTACAAGAATAATTTAACTGATGAAAATGAACAGCAGTAACCTATAGGATTATAGTTATATTACTATAGCATTGAATATTTTTGTTTTAAAGACATTGGCTCTAAAATTCCACTAAAAGGCCTTCCCTGATTCCATCTATTTGTTAAATACCCTTGCTTATCCTATCCTCCTGAATAATGACCTTTTTTTTTTTTTTTGCTAATTATTTATTCTTTGTATTCTCTGCTTGTCTTAGTTCTTTAAGGAGAAACACTGTGTTGGTCTTGGTCACCTTCATATCTTTTTTCTCTGAGGTTGAAACTGAGCTCTGGTAGAATAAATATTTGTTGAATTAAATCAGCCCATACTAAATATTTAGTGGGGCATATAGCTTACTAGGCACAGTCACATTCTGTTATAATTAATAGCTTAATATTTTGTTCAGCTAAAGTACTTATAGCATTAGAATAAGGAAGACTTCATTCAAGGTCAAAATTCCAGTCTTTGGGAGACCAGATCACATGACACTATTTATTTTAGTTGTGCAAGTTTGGCTTGCCAAATTTTTTCAGTAAACCATGGCCTTGATCCGGTGCCTGCCTTACAAACGCAAGGTCCCGAGTTCGATCCCCAGTACCATAAAAACCCCAAACTATGGCCTTGAACTGTATTAATATTGTAAAGAGATGTTGATAAGATTCTTCTTAGAACTTTTAACATTTTAGTGTTGAAACACTATTTTTATTAGTGAAAAAAATTTTGTTCTAGGACTGCCTTTTTGTTTCAGTCTCAGAATAAAGAAATGGATAATCTGGCATTTATGTATCATACAGAGCAAATAATTTATTTTGTTTTTTTTAATTTAAAGAACTTTCAAGCAACTTAATTTAGTTTTACTCTGGAGTGAAAAACAAATTATAACAGTTTTGTTTATTCCTACAATAATTTCCAATAATCATACACTTTAGAATTTCTTTCACTGTATACTTTTTTCAATCTATTT